ATGTTAGTTTCAATGGATGATGCTACTAGTAACACAAATATTGTAGCCTTGCTTACCACTACACTAAGTCCTGCATTTAGTAATATTTTTCATGTTAGATGTATTTGTCATATTTATAATTTAATTGTGGGTGATGATATGTGAATTTTAAATGTTGAAATTGAAAATATTAAAATAGCTCTTAATTGGCTTTTTTATTCAAACTGTAAAAGTAGACTTAGAGAATATTTTAAAAGATGCGATGAATTTGGCCTAAGAGAAAGAAAGGTTCCTAAACCTTGTCCAACTAGATGGAATTACATGTATGGAAGTTTAGTTGTTGCATATGAATATAGAAACCCCATAAACTCAACGTTTAATGCTCATGTAAGTGATAATGATGAGCACCTTACAAATGCGTATTGAGCTAATGTTAAAATGCTTGTAGATTTTTTAGAAAAATTTTATATTGCTACAAATAAATTTTCTGGGCAATATTATCCTACTATTTCTAACTGTTTAGTTTATATTGCAGAACTTGCAAATTTGTTTGATCATTTTTTAGAGGGTGGAAAAATTTATCAACTTGCTATTGATTATATGAGAAAAAAGTTTAAAAAATCTATTTTCCCTATTCCCCATATTTATGATGTTGCTGCACTGTTAAATCCTACGATGAAATTAGGAGGTCCTCAATTTTGGTATGAACTATTTATAATGGTTTAGCACTTGAAGATGAGGAGTTGTCTAAACTTCCGGACGCAATAGCCTCAATTAAAATAAATGTTCAAACTATTTATAATGCTTATCAAGTTGCATTAGATCATGCTAGACCAAATGTTCCAACTCCTTCTTCTTCTAGTTCTCAATCATCTAAAAGAACTGCGGGAGTAAGAGCACTTAGTGCTTGGGCAGGGTTCAGGGGTTCTCAAGGTTCTAGTACTAGTGATTTTTCACAACTAAATGAGCTTGAAATTTATTTGTCACAGGGAATTGAGGAAGTGAATCTCGACGGCTCCTTTAATATTTTGGAATGGTGGAAGGACAAAGAAAAATACTTTCCAATTCTTTCAAGGATGGCCCGAGACATTTTAACTATTCAAGCTTCAACAGTGGCATCAGAGAGCGCTTTCAATCAAGCAAGACTTCAACTCGGTGATTATAAAGCGTCTATGAGGGAGAGCTTGGAAAAATCAGTACTTTTCAGAGATTGGAATCGTTCGGAAATAAGAAATTTTGGACTTGCTGAATCACAATCAGAGGTAGACGAAACTTACGAAGAAATGCTAGCTAAACTTGCGGAGGATGCTGCTTCGCCCGGAAGCGGTGATGACCAAGCTTCTTTTCCGCCACCACCAACGGAAATCCCTCCGGACCTTGAAGGATTTATGAAATTTGTAAGAGATACCATGTAACTTATATGAACAAAAATTAATATGTAACTTGTATTTTGGCACATCTTGATTAGTTTATTTTTCTTCTCAATGGTGGTATTAGCACCTTGTTGTGCTCATTCCATAGTGGGGAGGAAGATTAAGAAAAATATTGCCATTTTTTTAATGCTGTAATAAAATTATAACGCATTGCTTTGAATATCTCTTTAAAATATTTTTGTCTTTAAATTTGAATTAAAGAAATTTAGGTCATAATTCTATAATATAATTTACAAGGAATTGCCTTAGATATTTTTATTACCATTTTTTTTCTCTAACTTCTATAAAAAATTTTAAAAAATAAAAAGTATATGTTGGGCCCACTTAGGCCTGGGACCGGCCCACTTAACCCGGAACCGTTAGCTCGTGGTCCCGGTCCCGGGCCGGTTCCAACAACAAGCCCGCGAAGCTCGGGACCACTTAGGATCGGCCCCCTTAGGAGAGGTACCACGAAGCCCACTTAGAACCGGACCCGGCCCACATGCCACCCTTAATGGAAGGTACCCTAAGTCTAAATTTGAACTTGAATTACATGATCAATGGGAAAAGGTAAATGTTGTAGTTTTGTCTTGGATAATGAATGCAGTACGACCAGGATTGCTAAGTAGTATTGTATATGCATTCAATGCTCACAAGGTCTGGGAAGATTTAAAGGAAAGGTTTGATAAAGTGAATGGCTCTAGAGTCCTTCATCTCCACAAAGAGATTCATACTCTTATTCAGGGGACGATGACTGTTGCTGATTACTTCTCTAAGCTTAGAGATTTGTGGGATGAATTTGATGCACTCATGCCTTGCCCTGGGTGTCCATGTCCTGAATCTAAGAAGTATGCTGCTCATTTTGAATATCATAGACTTCTACAGTTTCTCATGGGCCTAAATGATTCCTATTCACAAGCTAGGAGTCAGATTATGATGATGTCTCCAGTTCCTAACATCAACAAAGCCTACTCTTTGCTTGTTGATCTTGAGAGTCAGAGGAGTCTGGCAAACTTTACACAGGTAGTGCAAGTTGCAGAAGTTGCTAAAGGTAATGCAATGTTTAGTAACAGAGGTCCAGTAGCTGCAAGGGGAAATCCCAGGCCTCAAAAGAAGATCCCTCAGTGTGAGTACTGTCATTGCAAAAGACATACAAAGGAGACCTGTTACAAGTTAGTTGGTTACCCCTCAGACTTCAAGTATAAGAAGAAGGGAGGTAGTCCTGGAGTATATGCAAACTATGCAGGTCCTGCAACAGGCCATGCCCCTAGTGATGCCTGCAAGTTCACTAACAACAATCCACAAATGATCTTTGGAATGCAAAATCAGCAGAACCTCCAAATACCTCAGCAGCCTGTTCAACACCCTACTCCTTACTTTACACGTGAGTCATATCAACAACCACAATTAGTGCTTCAGAAGTCTATTCAACAGCTTGCTCATTTCTTCACACAGGAACAGTATCAACAAATTGTTCAGTTGCTCAACAAAGGAATGGATGAAGGCACTTCTTGCAAGACTGTAGCAAGAGGTACTCTGATTGCCTTGGTATCCCAATATGTTAAGACTAGATGGATAATAGATACCGGAGCCTCCAACCACATGACATCTACCCTACAGTTGTTATAATCTTCTCAGCCTGTTCCAGAGTCTGAAAGAAACAAAGTACATTTACCCACAGGAGAAGTAGCATCAGTCACACACAGAGGGAAATCATCTGTGTTTACTAATCAGGACATCAGTGATGTGTTATATATACCTGATTTCAAATATAATCTGCTTTCAGTATCTAAACTTACCAAGGAGTTACAGTGTTTAGTGGCATTCTTCCCTGACTTCTGTATCTTTCAGGATCTCTACAGTGGTCAGGTGAAGGGGATTGGTAAGGAGGAACTGGGTCTCTACATACTGCAGGGAAGCTCACTGCAAGGAAGTTCATTACCTACTACAGCTAAGTCTTCAGATAATGTAGTTAATGCAGTCAATAAAAGTTGTGTTACATCTGATAGTGAAAACAATAATAGTGTTGCTAGTGTTTCTGATTCTTGTTCTCTATGGCATATGAGATTAGGTCATGCTCCAATTGAGGTGATTAGAAAGCATGAGTTTCTCAGTAAGCTAAAACCTTGTGATCAATCATTTTGTACTGTGTGTCATTTGGCCAAGCAAACAAAATTACCTTTTCAATTGAGTACTACTGTTTCAAAAGCTACATTTGAATTAATATATTGTGATGTTTGGGGACCCTACAGGGTACCAACATATGATGGAAAAAGGTTCTTTGTTACAATTGTATATGACTTCACCAGATACACTTGGATCTGTCTAATTGTTTCTAAGTCAGACACCATAGTTGTACTAAGAGACTTTCTGAATAAAGTGAAGAATGTATTCTCTAGTTCAGTTAAGACTCTAAGAACAGATAATGGAGGTGAGTTCTTTAGCCATGAGGTCAAAACTCTTATGTTTGAATTTGGGATTAATCATCAAAGCATATGTGTCTACACCCCACAACAGAATGTGATTGCTGAAAGAAGGCATAAAACTATCCTAAATATGGCTAGATCCCTCAGATTTCAGGCTACAATACCTCTAAGGTTCTGGGGAGAGTGTGTGACCACTGCTGTCTATCTGATCAATAGACTACCCTCAAGAGTCACTGATGACAGATCTCCATTTGAAATATTGTACTCTCATGCTCCCTCACTGTCTCATCTGAAGGTGTTTGGTTGCCTATGCTATGCTGCTACTCCTACGATGGTAGACAAGTTTGCCTCTAGAGCTGTGCCTACAGTGTTCATGGGATATGCTACTACCCAGAAGGGGTACAAATTGTATGATCTTCACTCTCATAATTTCTTAGTAAGTAGGCATGTAGTGTTTCAGGAGAACCTGTTTCCTTTCAAGTATATGAAAGCAGCAGGAACTCCAATATTTTCAGTCCTGGATCTTATGTCTTCTGATGGTGTACACTATAGGAATGAGAACAGCCATGCTCCATGTCCTACTACTGACTTACCTGAGTCACCTACTATCTCTTCTCATCCCAGTGAGATTCCTGCACACTTTACTGATACATCAGAGGCAGAGATTGATACAGCTGACCAAATCTCTCTATCACCAGGTATTGAACATGCTATATCTGAGCAAGTCCCTTCATCATCTGCAACCTCTCCAGTGGGTCCTCGCAGGTCTTCCAGGCCAAGTAAGCTTTCCCTATGGTTACAAGACTATGTAACCAAAGGCTTCAAGCAATCTTGCCTATATCCCCTATTATCATATGTCACCTATGACCAGCTCAAGCCAGTATATCTACAAGCCCTCTCTGCTTATTTAGCCCTGTCAGAACCAAAGACATTCAAAGAAGCCTCTGCTGACCCAAAGTGGATACAAGCTATGCAACTGGAGATAGCTGCTTTGGAAGACAATAATACATAGAGCATTGTTGACCTGCCACCCGGTAAGGGGCCAATTGGCTGTAAGTGGATCTTCAAAATTAAGTATAGAGCCTCAGGGGAGGTAGAGATATATAAGTCTCGTTTGATTTCCAAAGGCTACAGTCAAAGAGAAGGTCTTGACTATAATGAGACCTTCTCCCCAGTAGCCAAAATGGTGATAGTCAGGACTGTGGTAGCTCTTGCTGCAGCTAAGCAATGGACTATCTATCAAATAAATGTCCACAATGCCTTTCTTAATGGGGATTTACTAAAGGAGGTGTATATGCATGTTCCTGAGGGGTGTAACAGCCAGGGGGGGGGGGTCCTTGAAGGTCTGCAAACTTCACAAATCCCTATATGGTCTTAAACAAGCACCTAGACAATGGAATAAGAAGCTGACAGAGTCACTGCTGCAGATGGGGTTCCAACAAAGTCACTTTGATTACTTCTTGTTTACAAGGAAAATAGGTAGTGATCTAACAGTGATCTTAGTTTATGTTGATGATCTACTCATCACAGGCAATAACCAATCTCTACTAAATCAAACCAGAAAAGATCTACAAAGTCAGTTCAAAATGAAGGTTCTAGGTAAGTTGAAATTTTTCCTAGGCATTGAGTTTGCAAGGTCCAAGAAAGGGATTGTGATGTGCCAAAGGAAGTATGCACTTGAAGTCTTGAACTCATCTCTGAGTCAGGGCTAGGGGGAGCAAGACCAGTAGGAACACCAATTGGGGTGAATCAGAAGCTAACTTCTGAAGAATATGATAGGTGTATAAGAGGTGATGAGGAGCATGAAGATAAACTACTCAAAGATCCAGGAGGGTATCAAAGACTAGTGGGCAGACTTCTGTACCTAACCATGACAAGACCTGACTTAGCCTTTGTTGCACAAGTGCTAAGTCAATATATGAACTGTCCAAAGGAGTCTCATATGGAAGCAACACTTAGAGTAGTAAGATATCTAAAAGAAGCCCCGGGTTTTGGGCTGTTGGTGCATGCACATAATACCAATAAGCTAAGTGCTTATTGTGACTCAGACTGGGGAACATGTCTGTAAACCAGGAGGTTTGTAACATGCTATTTGGTAAAGTTTGGGGATGCACTAATATCTTGGAAGTTAAAGAAACAAGAGACAGTGTCTAGAAGCTCAGCTGAAGCTGAGTTCAGAAGTATGGCTTCATGTACAGCTGAAATAACTTGGCTTATTGGATTATTCAAAGAGCTTGGAGTGGATGTGGAATTACATGTGAAGCTTAAGTGTGACAGCAAGGCTGCAATCCAAATAGCAGCCAATCCAATTTTCCATGAAAGAACCAAGCATATAGACATTGACTATCATTTCGTAAGAGAAAGGATTACACAAGAAATACTGAGAACTGAGCATGTTACAACCAAAGAACAACTGGCTGATCTAATCACAAAAAGTCTAGGAAAAACATGATTACTTGCTAGGCAGACTTGGAGTACAGAACTTGTTCAAGCCATTGGCTTGAGGGGGAGTGTTGAGAGTACTCAAGTCTATCTAACTCTAGTTAGCTTAGGTAGAGTTAATGTTATTAGTGGTTAAGCAAGTAGTTAGTTAGTTTATGTGATGTGTATAAATAGAACAGTAGAAGAAGAAGCAGCTTGTACAGTACCATTCTTTCTCAGTTAATAATAGAATCTGTCTTCTCGAAGCTTCCTTATCTTCTTCGTCTGAGCTTCATCTTCCATAGCCATGGAAGTTAACATCATAGACATAGTTTAAGTGTCTAAAATAAGAATCCAAATAAGTTTAGGGACTATCTCGCTAGCTAGCCTTTCACAAATTCTTATTTGTTGTATATAGAAAGTCTTATATTACCCTTCTATTTTTTACTTTTGTTGGACTCAATATTATTTATTACCTAAGTTTTGGTGATCATCTAATATAAAGCTATTGTATATTATGATTTGTTAGTAATGTCAGGACTCAATTATGAACACAAATAACGCAGATATTGAAACTATCTTTAGTTATATTGACTTTAACGTGTAGAAATTACATATTTTCATTATTCTGCCATTAAAGAACATAAATTCAAGACTTGAGGATGAAGAAATTAAAATTGACAATAATTCAAAAGGATATAACAATATTATAAAAAGCGACGAATTTGAAAAAAAAATCACTAAAATTATGATTATTCGACCATTCATGAATATTACTTCATTGAAATTACAAATAAAATTGAAGCATACTATTGTATTATTGTTATATACTATTATAATATATAAAATGTGAATCGTATACCTGATGGTATACGAAAAACATACCTGCTGAGTACTTTATAAATATTTTTTTCTCTCAATATGTATACAATGTGATTTTCAAACAAGGGATTCATTTTCGTATATATATAAATTTTTAAACTTACTTACCCGATTTTAGCTAGATGTTTTACAAAATATATACAAACATGTAAAAAAACTAGCTAAACTTATCTACCCGATTTTAGCTGCTTATTCAAGTTTAACATAAAAAAAGAAAAGCAGAAAATTGAAAGAAAGAGAAAACATAATGGAAGGGCTACTCATCGTATGAAATAATATATTGATATAACAAGTAAAGTATTCAAGAACTCTCACGCTCAGAAGAGAAAAGCTGCAAAAATGAGAATGCTGAGATGAGGAGAGATATGATTAGGAATAAAGATATTCGGGACAAGGTGAGAGCGACCATTGAGGTTGAGAAGATGAGGGAAAGGAGACTGAGATAGTTAGGGCATGTGAAGGGAAAATGCATAGATGGCCTACAAAAAAGTGTAAGAGGTTAACAATTCAGGTCTAAGGAAAGGTAGAGGCAGGTTGAAAAAGTATCTAGGAGAAATGATTTGACATGACATGACACATTTTCAGTTTATCAATGACATGACCCTATGTAGAATGATATGGAGGTATAGGATTATGGTATAAAGTTAGTAGGTAGTCGAGTTTGGAAAAACCGTATCTGCTCTATATTTTTTCATATCATCATCATCGTCGTCGTCGTCATCGTCGTCATCATCATCATCATCATTTTTTCTCTTATATCTTATTTTTATATTTCTATTACTACGCGTTGTTTCTCTTGTTTTGATTATCTTATTGCTTTGTTATATTGCTGTAATTATTATTCTTGTTTTTATTAGTCTCAATATGGCTTCTTCACGATAGTCGAGTTTGGAAAAACCGTATCTGCTCTATATTTTTTCATATTATCATCTCATCATCATCGTCGTCGTCGTCGTCATCATCATCATCATCATCGTCGTCATCGTCGTTGTCATCATCGTCATCGTCATCATCATCATCATCATCATCGTCGTCGTCGTCATCCTGCTCCTCATCATCATCATCGTCGTCGTCGTCGTCATCATCATCATCATCACCATCACCACCATCACCACCACCACCATATCATCATCATCATCATCTCTCTCTTATATCTTATTTTTATATTTCTATTACTACGCGTTGTTTCTCTTGTTTCGATTATCTTATTGCTTTATTATTTTGCCGTAATTATTGTTCTTGTTTTTATTAGTCTCAATATGGCTTCTTCATGACTGTTTTCCTTTTCAGATCTGCTAAAGAATACTTGTCTTGAACGGAGGATCTATCAAAAACAACCTCCGCCTCCATAAAGTAGGGGTAAGGTCTACATACACAATGCCCTCCCCACACCTCATATTGTGGGAATACATTGTGTATGTAATTATTGTTATTATAAGTAGTATCGTACCAATAATCATATAACAGACTAGGTCGGCAACTGCTATGATGAAGATAAATTTTAGGCGTGAGAAAGAGGGGGAGAAAATAGGAAAGATTAGAGTTTAATATATTATTTCGTATATAGTTAATAAATTATATATTAAATTGTAATTAAATTAAAATCTCTTAGTGACTAAATAAATTTCTAATTCGTGGGCCTGATGGGCATAAACGTAAATCTCCCTAATATTTATACATTGATGGACTTTCTAAACGACAGCGTTCCAAAAATTTATAGTTTTTCCAAATACCCAAAAACTAAACTCCGCCTTGCCCATCCTGTCTTTTGCTCATCCTTGCGCTACTCTTGTATTGATCTGCAACTACAATTTCCACTCGAAGCTTCCTCCATTATAGCCACCACCAATCGCACAAAGGTTATCTTTTCCTTTCTTACTTCTTAATACATCAGTATATTCACAATTCATGTACTCAGATATGTACGTGTAAACTACCTTCTGCTATTGTGTTTTATTATGTCTTTAGTCTTTTGATGTATCGATTTCCTGTCTTAAATGTTTGACTCTTTTCATGAATTTTTTTTATGGATAATGTTGTTATAATGCATTTAAATAACCCAAAATTCACCGAGTTTTTTTTTTTTTTTTTTTTGTGATTGTGGTAATTCGTGATGATCAATGGAAAACATTAGTAGTGTTACAATCTATTATTAAGGATTTTTGTTTATTTAACAGTATTTAATATCTAAATCTTCATCGTTTTTCCATAATTTTTTCTGGTGATATTGTTATAATCTGATAAGTATAAAATCATCTTCTTTGGATGATTCCTACTTATAAGGTGTATGCTTAATTGGATCATTTTGTATTTTTAGAAGAAAATGAGGCAGAGGTCTAAAGGTTCTGCACAATCTAAGCCATCGAGTATACCTGAGACAAGTAATTCCGAGGACACTGTGGTTCTGGTAGCTAAGAGGTCAAAGTATGTGATTTTGGCATTGTTTGTGCTAGTGACATATGGAACTTGGTCTGTGTATCAACATCAGTTTCTCAATCTTCCTAAGCCTCTTGGTGCTGAAGAAGTTGGTAAGAGGGGTTTCTCCGAGCATGAAGCCATCAAACATGTTAAAGCATTGACTCAGTTGGGTCCACATCCTGTTGGCTCAGATGCATTGGATCATGCCTTGCAGGTATACCAGTTTTTCAGTTAATCAGTTGAATTAGTTTCATTTTGAAGGGGACCCTTGGAGCAACAGTGAAGTTGTCTCCGTGTGACCTATAGGTCACGGGTTCGAGCCGTGGAAGTATCCACTAATGCACATTAGGGTAGGCTGTCTATATCACACATCTGTGGGTCCCTTCCCCGGACCCTGTGTGAATGTGGGATGTTTTGTGTACCGGGCTGCCCTGATTAGTTTTAGTTTCATTTTCTGAAAGTTGTTATTTATTCTCTGAAAGGGAAATCGTATGTCCAACTAGTTCTTATACAACAACAACAACTATGTCTCAGTGTCAAACAAGTTGGGGTGTAACTAGTTCTTCTATTTAGTTTAAGCAGAGAAATGAAAAGAAATAGTTTTGAGGCCCTAAAATCTATAGTTGAAGGCTTTTCTTCTTTGGTGTTAATTGTTATAGAAGAAAAGGAAGGGCCATTTACACTTGGTTGCTTATAGACAAAAGAAAAGGAGAAGGTGGTTCTAAAACATTTATTTCTTTAGACTGTTAGGCATAGGTATAACTGCATATTTAGCATGACTACAGGTGATATGAGGGTTCTCTTTGAAATACATAATTCCTAGGTAACAATTTTTTTTTTATAATTCTGTGAAAGCTAGTAGCATAAAGCAAAATCCTAACAAGTGTTACCATTGATCATCACCAATTATTGTGCTTAAACACACATAGAGGGTTTTAAATTCATTTTGATGATTGAGAGTGAAATCTCAAGTTTTAGAAGTTGCTAATTTTCTGTGCTCTGTCTCTTCTTTCTGATGCAGTACGTCTTGCAAGCCACAGAAACTATTAAAGAAAAAGCTCATTGGGAAGTTGACGTAGAATTAGATCTTTTTCATGCTAAATCTGGCGCTAATCTTATGGTTGGTGGACTTTTCAAGGGGAAAACTCTTGTTTATTCAGATCTGAATCACGTTGTACTAAGGATCTCGCCGAAATATGCACCTGAAGCAACAGAAAATGCTATTCTAGTGTCTTCCCACATTGATACTGTGTTTTCCGCGTATGTTTCTCCTAAAACATCCTTTTCATTGAATTTCAGACATTGTATTTTCTTTGCATATATATATATATATATATATATATATATATATATATATATACTAGTATATTACCCGCGCGATGCGCGGAAAATGTTAGAGAAAAAAATATAATAAATTATTATCGTACTTGCTTGACCACCTCATATTTTTATAATTTGATAAATTATAAAATTTAAACCATTTGATCCACGGTTGTTGATGATAAGGCAACTAATGTAGGAAAAATTATTTTATACACCCTAAATTGCCGTAAGATCTTGTGTTATGTGCAATGAGATTCAAATATAATTTAACTTACTACGATTAGGAGATTTTATTAAGTAAAAGTATGCATTTATAATAATGAGTAAGTAACAAAAGTGCATATGTAATCAAATATAATGTATTTTATAATTTTTTATAAATACTTGATGCTAATAAGTTTTTACCCT